AAATACAAATGTAAAATTAAACATTCTCAACTTTTATACCTGTAAGACCTAGCAAAATCATGAATTGTACAAATGTCACAGTGTTTAGAGATTTAGTGAGTTCATTTACTGCTATCTGAGCAGTGAGAACATATTCTAAATCAATAACCCTCTGATTCAACTGTCAATGTGAAAAATGAAAATGTATATCAATGTGCTTACTTCAGACTGTAATAACCATCATCTTTGTGAGATCTATGACACTCTTATTATTGATGAGAATCTGTATCAGAGATGTAGTAATGAAGCTGAGCTCAATCATGAGGTTCTGAATTCATGTTACTTCATGAACTGCCTCACTAAGAGTCACATATTCAGCCTCATTGAAACTTAGAGATACACAAGATTGTTTCACTGAATGTCAGGAAATCAGACTGTCTGCAAGCTTAAAAATGTAGCTGAATATTGATTTTCTATCACTATTCAAAGAGCTGGCTCAATCGGAATCTGAGTAGCTGAAGGGTAGGTAGAAATCATCAGGGAAATCAGAGGTAATGAAAAAATCAGTAGAAATGGAAAAATCAGTAGAAATGGAAGAAATGAAAGAAACAGAAGAAATGAAAGAAATAGAAGAAACAGATCTCTTATACAGACTGTGTCTGTAGAAAATACTCAGATTCATGATCCCTTTCAAATAATGTATAATGTGTAATAGAGCCTTTCAACATTGAGATGTTGAATCAACATTTCATTGAGTGAGTAGTGAGGCAGTGTGAGTAATATCAGAATGTGTTTTAACTGCAAGATATTGCAAGCAACTCACATCATATTAATATCACTGAATTGTGAAACCAGTCTCTTTCTCAGATATAGAGAAATTATCAATGTGAAATTCATTCTTTATTGATGTTCTCATAATAGCTGTATTATTAAGATAGAAATCTTCAACAAGACATTTAATATATTGATAATATATCAAATCAATTCTCTTGTTTAAACAATTGATCTTCATACTCAAATACTTGGTTGACTGATGTAGATCCTTGACTTTCAATTTCTCACTGAGTATACTCACTAGTTAATTAGCATTCTCAGAAGCTTCAGATATGATGTTGAGATCATTAATATAGATTATCATATAGAGGTGATATCTGAATATATAATATCAGAGTGCTGGATTATGAGCGCTGACTGTAAATTCAAGATCACTTAACAGAGCTGTTAAGTAATCATACCAGATCTTCATCACAGAGTTCAGACTGTATAGACTACTCTCAATCACACAGACAAGCATTTTCAGTGAACCTGTCTCAAATTCAGTGAGTTGTCTTATATAGATCTTCTTAGTGAGATGCTCATGCAGATATATCATCACTATATTCACTTAACAGAGTGTTCAACTGTGTAGTGCTGCTATTGTAAAAAGAATATAATTGACAGTATCAGTGATAACAGAAGTGTAGATCTCTTCTCTAGAACTCTTCTTAAGTCAGTTATTACAAATCACTCAACATGATTTTCTAAGAATATTATCAGAATTAGTATTCAGATTCACAGGTCTATCTTTCTCAAGAAACACTCAATAATCTGAAGCAATCAGTTCATCTCTCAGAATATTAGATCTAGAGATCAAACTTCATGTATTGCATCTCTTCAGATCAGTATTCTCATATTATATGAACTTCTTTTAATAATCTTCTATCTTCTCTGACTGAGATGTGGCATTCTTGTAGAACTTCGGGAGGTTGCCTGTAATGAGACTTGAAGTGTAAGTAGCCAGTGATTTCGCAGGCTGCAATCATGTGAAATTCAGATTATCAATATTGAGAGCATCTTCATCATCAATCAGATGAATATCAGGTTTCAGTTCAACAATATAATTAATGAGTTTCACAGATGTAACAGTCAGTTTTTCAGTGATCAGAAACCTCACATCACTACTGACAATAATCTTATCAGATTCAGAATGCCACAGGCAATATATCAATGTGCCACTGAATTCAATGATATGATAGAAATCAGCATGTGAAGAGAGCTTATCCGCGAGTCTCTGAAATTCATGCATGTGAATAAAAACCTCTGCACTCAATCAGTGAAAATGCCTCACATTCAGTGAGGTATTTGTAAGTGCACACTAAGGAATCTTATATGAACTTGGAGTCACAGGAATCTCTGCAGTAGAGAGCCAAAATTTTGAGTTATAAAGAACTGTAGATGTGAGAGTATTATTAATTATTACAATCACTGTCTCTAGAACATCTGTTCAGAACTTCTTAGAGAGATTATCTTTCAAAAGAGCAGCTCTAACCTGTCTCATGATAGTGTAGATTTCACATTCAGAAACATCATTCTGATGTGATGAATATGATGCTGTTGATTCTCATTTGATATCATATGAATTCATAACTGTATGCATACATGTGAATTAAAAAACATTATTAATATCAGTCTGTAGAAAAGCAGAGACTGTATACCTGAGATTATTCATGAATCTGAGTCACAACTCAAAGTATTGAACAGTCTCATTTCTGAACTTTAAAAAATACACTCAACAGTAGTGAGTTGCATCATAGATAATAAGTATTCAGTATTTAATTCTATGACAGAACTCTAAGAGATGATCAGAGAGGTCTTTCAATGTACATCTATCATCTACAAGGTTAATATGAATCTTCTCAATGAATTGAATAGATCTAGACATCAGTGTTTTCAAATAATCTCATGTTATACCTGTCTTGACACATTCCTTGCAAAAGAACTTAGTCTTAGAACCTTTAATTGTGACTTCAGTATGAGAATTCTTGGCTATAGCAATTATAGCATCAGTGTGAATGTGACTGAGATCACAGTGTCAGTTCAAAAGAGTCTTTAATATTCTTGTATTCTTGAGACCTGTATTCAGAACTGTAGAATCAATGTTATCAACAGTAGTAGCAGCAGCCACAGAAAGATCAACTTTTCAGTCAAAATTGTACTCATATAGCATTGCAATATACTTGACTGCCTTGTTTAAATGATTGAAATCCTCATTGAACTTCTGTTCATCAACCTTATATATGATATTCTGAGCAGTTCAAACTACATGAAAAATAATGCTGTTCAAGGCTCTGCAAATGAAAAATGAGAGAATCATGAAAGACAATATAAATCAGAATCTCTGATCTTCAAGCTTTGTAAACAAGAGCAGGTTGACTGTAATATTAGAGATATAGTGAACATTCTGTAAGTTAACATCATCATTCTCAATCTTCAAGATGACAGTCTCAATCTTCTTGACACACTCAGTTCTCTCAGTCACAGAATTGACAGAGATATTATCATTAAAAGGTTTGATATTTGAAAAAGAATGAAGCTCATCTGTCATATTCAGGCTTGCACATGTGTTCAAATATCAAGATCTAGAGAATGATTTTCTGATGACTGTGAAAGAGAAATAGAACTCAATCTTTGTAATTGCTGTATTTACTGCTGATTGAGAACTCATCAAGTCATTCTTCTTCTCTTTCTTCTTGTCATTCTTCTTATCATCCTTCTTTTTCTTTTTATCAGAGTGTAAGATGAAACACCTGTCAATAGTATATTCATGTCTCCTGCAGTGAGTGCACTTTCATACAGATGTGCTTTTATTCTTATCTTTATTCTTGTTCTTTTTCACAGTCACAGAATCAGCCTGAGACTGCTTTTTCCACTCAGTGATGATCTTCTTGAATATATGATTAGACTGACCGTGTGACCGTGTCTGGGACCAGGACCAGATTTTTTGATAGTCTCATTACCAATTCGACTGATCCCATTACACAGTTTTAACATTAGATAGTAGTTTCATACTGTCTCAGTGGGACTTACTGTCTACTCTTGTCACATTTTCCAAATGAGACCATGATTTCCACTTCTCAATTTAAATTATTTTTATTGCTTTAAATGACTTTAAATCTCATTTAAGTGTTACCAAAAAGTGTTACTTTTTAAAAAATTAAAAATAGTCTAAAAAAAACCTTAAAATGTCTAAAAATAGTAACTTTATGCTAAGAATGAGACTAATTGGAATCAAATGAAACCACTTTCTCATTTTTTTCAAGTCATGGTTCCATTTTAAGATCTGATATATAGTCACTTTACCTGTTTTTTTAATAGTCAGTCCCAGCGGGATTCACGCCAAGAAATGTATGGGATCAGATCAAATGGGATCAAACGTGAAATTCATGATCCCGGCGGCCAGTCTATATATGATTGATCAGTTGCTTTATCAAATCATTGATATCAATGTTGACAATGAGTCTCTGACTAGTGAAGAAAAACTCATTCAAATGTGTCTTGACAAATAATCTTTGATAATCTTGTAGATTGTTGAGGAAAAGATCATGATATACATTCTCAGTGCTCTGACAGAGCTTCTTGTCATGAATAATAAGATAGTGAAAATATCTCTGAAAAGTAAGATAATCATTCTTCTTGATTTGTAATTTTGTCAATTTCTTGAAGATATTAACTCATTCTTCTGTCAGTGATATCACATATTTAACATTGATCTTATCTCACAGCGCTGCAGCATTGTCAGCTTTCAAGGTTTCAATAGTAGTTCAAACATTTTCAACAAGACTTGATAGCATACATCTATATAAAGACTTGAAATGAATTCTTCACTTCTCAGAGTTGATATGATGTGTAAAAGAGAATTCTTATTAAGTTCTCAATAGAATGTCAGTTTCATCAATAACTTCTGCATCAGTTAATATATCAACACATCAGACTTCATAATTAGAGTTATCAAATGTGGTCACTGATTTGATGTCTAGTGCATATTTAACTTTCTTCTGATATTTCTGCAACTCATCTCTTGTAGTGTCTCTTTGCACAGAGACAGATGTAGTAAGATGTTAAGTGATTTCAGTCACAGTCATCTGGTTTCATAGCATCATCTGTATAAGATTCATAAGATTGCCTGCAGTGCAATAGATAGATTGATTCAAATCATCATTAAAAGTCAGCATTCTGAGAGTGAGAAACAGTGAAGAATTCTATCAGTTAAAATGAACAGATTCTGCAGATGAATATTGACTCTGCTTTTCTTTGTTCTGAAGTTTCTCTGTTGTCTCATCATCAAATTTCATACTCTGGTGAAAACTGACCTCAGTCTCATCTTGCAAGTCAGAAGCCTTCTCATAATAAGTGATCATTCTATCAATGAGTTGTCTAGTGAAGTGTGTGATTCTGGGCCTTGAGCTGAACTCTGAAGTAACAGGTGTATCACTCATATCAAGATAGCTCTGCTTCTTCTAGATGTGTAAAAAAAAAAAAGATAAAAAGTGATATTCTCCACAATGGAGAACACACTTTCTCAAAAATATAAAGTATATGAATCCGCTGACTGGCAGATTCAGGGAAAATGAAATATCTCTAATAAAGAGTAAGAGTCTTTCCAAAAAAGGTGAACTATTCATGTCAAAAATGTTGGTACAACATTCTAAAAAGAAAAACATGCTCTCCGGGCTATAATCTGTAGAATAGTTGAAGGTTTCATACGGGAAGAACGTAGAGTTATTACACGACCGGATTATAGTTATTTCATCATTTCAATCAGCGACACGGTCGCCGAGCTGTAAATCATAGTATAATGATGAATGAATGATGGAATCACTGTAAATAAGTGATAAACTGAAAAAATCAATTATTATATTGATGATGTCACTGAATTCAATCTACATAATCACTAATTCTAAAAACTGTCTCATTCACTGATATTATTCTCTATTGAAAATCACAGACACTTCTATCTAAATTCTCCTGAATTGACTGAACCAAGTTTCTTTCATAGTCTTTATTTCTAGTCATGTTGCTCTCATTGATCACATCACTGAACTTGTGAATTGAGGTTTATAGATTAGTCATGATCTGAGAGACACTGCTATCAATCATCTGATGTTTGAGAGTTGAGATTTCAGAGTGATCAGACACTGAGTATTTGAAAGTCTATACAATTGTTAATCTCTGAACTGGGAATCATTTCACTGACTCTAGCTTACTGTTTCAGTGATTATTTCATAAGTCTGAGAACTCAGAACACTCATCAGAGTCAGAAGATCAGAGAAGAAGAGAAGAAAAGAATTGACAGTGATAACAGAGAGATCAGTGAGAGTTACAGAGAGAGAAAGAGAATTATCACTATTAACAGATTTCTTATTACTGCTACTCTCATTGACTGTATTACTGAGAAGTTTGATAATTATTTTAAATTGATTCATTGTTTCATACATTTCAATGAAAATGCACTGTGCTTTCTCTCTGACACTGTTGATCAAGTTTGTGAGATTCTTCATCATCACTTTTTAACTCTTATAATGATTGTTAATCAATCTCAAGATCTTCTGCTGAACAGCAAGCTTTGTATTTTCAACATTCAATTTTTCCTTTTCAATGATAATTTTCTTCTTCTTCACAGCAATTTTCTTCTTTTCAATCTTCAATTTGATTCTTTCAATATTCAACTTGATCTTCTCAATTTCAAGTTTGACTTTTTCAGCAGAACTGATAGATGTATTTAAGACTTTCAATGTGATAGCTATACTCTTCATTTTTTAGTTTTCTGCTTTCTGCTGATGTGTCTTTGCTTTCTTGATTTGCTTGAATAAATCCTTCACTGTCTTCAGCATGGCTGACTTGATCAATTTCTTCATAGCTGTTAAGACAGTAAGATAAAACTCATGAGTTTGAACCAGGTTTTTGATTTCATCATTGAATTCATCAGAGTATATCATACAATCTTTCTTTTCATGATTACAGTTTGAACATGACTTTATGCTTTCTTCAACTTTGTCACAAACAGATTCAATATAATGAGGGAAAATATATGAGATGCAGTACTCACACATTGTTGACTTGCTAGATTTGATGAGAGTATTCAGCCTGCTTGCTGTCTCTTTCTCTTGTGCTTTTGCTGCTGCTGCACATGTACACTTGAGAGTGTCTCCAGCCATTTTAATGTTGTTGCTGCTGCTGTTGTTGCTGCTGTTGTTGCTGCTATTGTTGCTGCTGTTATTGCTGCTGTTGTTGCTGTTATTGCTGCTGTTGTTACTGCTGTTGTTGCTGCTGTTGTTGCTGCTGCTGCTGCTGCTGTTGCTGCTACTGCTGCTGTTGCTGCTGCTGCTGTTGATGTTACTATTGTTACTGTTGCTGTTGTTGCTGTTACTGTTGTTACTGTTACTGTTATTGCTGTTACTGTTATTGCTGTTACTGCTGCTGTTGAATGAAACAATAGATCACTGATGTTCTTGATATACTATGCACATTAGATATCTTGACATTAGAACTTTTGATATTCAAAGCTTTCTATTACAACTGGCAGGATACTAACCTTGCTGAAGATGAGAAGGGCTGAGTGAACTGAAAAAATCAATGTTCATATTATAATATGATTGTAAGAAGAAGAATCATTCTGCTGAATGAAAAGATGTATGATGTTTTATTCTTTGTTTTTATCACACTTGCAACTGTTCAATTCAAATTATCTTTGTTGAAAGAAAGAAAATACATTCATTTTATCTTCAGATGCAGACACTGCTCTGTCAGTCAAATTTTCTTCTCATACATTTCTGCATCTGAATGCCAGGTTCAGCAACACCTTTTTAACAGACTGCTTGATGTCAGTGATAAGTTTGACTTCTCCTCACCTGGCTGATATTTGCCATTGCTGCCATTATGTTCATTCTATATTCAGATATGTCAATATCAGATTTCTTTTGAAATCAGCGATTTGTCTCATTAAACCTATCAGATGGAAGAGTTCAGAGAGATCTAGTAGAGCAGAATTCATGACAATGTTCATTTTCAGAATCTTGATAGAACTCTGATAAATTTGTGATATGAATAGAAATATAGTGATTTGATTCTTAATATTAAATTAATGTAGATTGTTGCTGATTGTGGCTCTTATTAATATATCTCTTTTTGATAATTCAACCTCATCTCTTTATTTTATCAAGATCACTCATTCACTTCATTCATATCTTTTCAACTATGCAACTTTTTTCTACAAATTATACCAGAAAGCAAAATGTTGTGTCTGTTTAATTAAAATCCGAAACACTACCTGCTATCTGTCTCTAGACAAGAATCTGGGAATGATCAATGTCTCTCTTTTCTAGAAACTGCAAATGAAGATTTTGCTGACAGTGATTCAGATATTGATGCTCTTGATGAAGAAGTATTACTATTCTCAGTAAGTTTATCACTTTTGATGTCTCTATCATTATAAAAACTAACATTCTCTAAAGACAGAGTCATATAATGAGAATGCTGCTGATAATGTTGAGCATATTGAGTAGCTTTTGAAAGCAGCTGCTGAGGAGAATATTTCTGAAAATGATGATCAAGAGAATTCTGATGAGTCAGTTGCTAATAATATTGAAATATCAGCTGCTGATGTAATTGCTGTTACTATTACTGATCAATTTGTTGATTCTGATTCAGCAATTGATATACCTCATAAATACAGTAACTTTGAAATGAATTCATTTGTTCTGACAATGAAACTCTGAGCTGAAGAGTCAGATATTTCTCAAAAAAACTACAAATCACTACTGCAAATTCTGTGTTTATTGAAGAATATATCACTGATAAGTCTGCTTTCTGAAGATCTATCAACTCTGAAAAAGCAATGCAGAGCATAATTTCCGATTTTATCAGTCAAGAAAACCTCAATTTCAATAGTGTCATCAATATAAATGTCAACTCTGAGTTCTGCTCAGAAAAATCTCACTGAATCCTTCATGAGATTACTATACTTTCAAAATGTGATTCTCTTGATATCTGCTCTTCTCAAATCCCCAACTTTTCAGTGACAAATGCATATAGAAATGACAGAAATTGTCAACAATTTCACAGAGTTATGACAATCTCACAGTTGAGAGAGCTCTGTCAAATATTGTTTCAGTGAATTTGTCTGATATTCATTAATAAATAAACCTATTTTTCCTTCTGATTTTATCTGATATCAGTGTGGGAATCTTGAATGCTACTGCAAATCAAGATTGAATGATATATCTCATATTGAAAGAGTGCATTTTACCAGACATGATCACTGACATTCAGACAGGAGGTCTCATATGATAGTTCTGAAAGTTCAAGAAGCTGTTCACTATACTCTGCAGACTGTACAAAGATTACTGTTCTTGAATTCATCATTTAGTCTCTTCAAAATAATTGCAATGAAGGATGAGATGAAATATATCTCAATTACTCAAGTTCTTGATCAACTTGATATTCATATAAATATAACATTTGAATTGAGTTCTGATCTGCTGATATATGAGAGTCAAGGTCAGTATTTTCTTTACCCAGGTCATGAGAACTAAAACTAAGATGATTGAGATATGGCCATATTGTAAATCTTCACTGATTCGGGCTGAGTTGAAAATTGCAGTATATGAATGAGATCTTTTGAAAAGCATATTTTACTCTGATATACAAGTTATTTCTCTGTCATATCAATTATTTATTGATGAATTTGACTTATATTGAAACATATACTGAAGCTTGATGAGTTTTTATTTGATTTCTGCACTGAGTGCTGTCAAGTGCTCAAAGTGAAATAATATTTTTATTCTAATCTTTGATTCTCATAGCATCAATTTTCCTGACACAGTTGCTGCATTATCACATGACTTATCTACATTGAATTGTGAGAAGATTATGATGAATATTGATGAAAAAAAGATGAGAGTGATTGTATCTTGTATTACATTTCTTGAAGATATGCTGCAGTAAAATAGCAATACAGAGATCAAAGAATCAACAGCAAGAAGATCATACTGAAGCTGCTTTGTCAATGATAAGAATTGACTGAATCTGAACTATAATCTTCACAATAACAGTCAATTTCACTACTATATGCAACATCTTCAGTAGACTGGCCGCCGGGATCATGAATTTCACGATTGGTCCCATTTGGTCTGGTCTCATACATTTCTTGGCGTGAATCCCGCTGGGACTGGCTATCAAAAAAACATGCAAAGTGACTATATATCAGATTTTAAAATGGGACCATGACTTGAAAAAAATGAGAAAGTGGTCTCATTTGGTCTCATTTAGTCCCATTCTTGGCATAAAGTTACTATTTTTAGACATTTTAAGGTTTTTTTTAGACTATTTTTAATTTTTTAAAAAGTAACACTTTTTGGTAACACTTAAATGAGATTTAAAGTCATTTAAAGCAATAAAAATAATTTAAATTGAGAAGTGGAAATCATGATCTCATTTGAAAAATGTGACAAGAGTAGACAGTAAGTCTCACTGAGACAGTATGAAACTACTATCTAATGTTAAAACCGTGTAATGAGATCAGTTGAATTGGTAATAAGACTATCAAAAAATCTGGTCCTGGTCCCAGACACGGTCACACGGTCAGTCTAATCTTCAGGCTAAACTGAATGACCTGCTGAATCTCACACACAGAGATCAAATGTGTCAAGAGTAAGAAATGACATCACAGATCATATCTCTTTTTCAGATATATTCAAGTTTGAATTTGATCTCTTTTTTCTCATCTGATTCATGTTATAGTGAGTTTGCTGATATATCAGAGATTTTGCACTCATTGCTGATCAGTACTATCTTATCACTATATAATTAGTTAGAATACTTCTGAATATTGCAGATATTTTCTTTTTCTTACAGTTGAAATCATCTACAGTTACTGATCACTCATCTCAAGAAGTATCAGCTTCAAGAACATGCTTGAGCTTTAATCATTATATCTCTTATCTTACAGTGTGAGCTTAAGAAGAAATGACTCAGTCTGATGATTAAGTAGATTATTTCTACAGCATTTTCAGCATTAAATCAATCACCTATTAATCTTATTATTCAGATATATACAGTCATTACAAGAAGTAATAGTCTATTAATATCTCAATCTCTGAGAGAAAATGATTCTGAAGTGACTCATCAAATCATACTTACAGCCTGCTAATAGCTATAATTTCTTATTGAAGTTACAGTAAGAGCAGCAGTGACATTTGAATTATTCTGAGCTAATTCAGTTGTTAGTTATCAGTCATTCTCTGCTTCAACAATGAGCACAGTTGCTATATATATCAGTGATTATATTAAAAAAGTAAAGCTTATATAATATATAAAGAGTTGACTGAATATATATATTAGTTTACACTATATTGAGCTGATTAAAGAATACACTGTATCTAACAACTGCAATGTTCTGACAGAGAAGAACAAGTATTGAGACTACAAGAATCTAGTGCAGTGAATAAATCATCAGAATGTGAAGAAGACACTGCTCTTGTAGAAGAGCTTTCACTGTATCTTGTAACTAGTATTGAGAGATTCTTTTAACAGATCTGACTTACATCTAATACAAAAGATTCAACAGCTATATACAGTTTATTCAGCACTGTTCAATAATCTGCTAAGAATGAATAAAGAATCAGATAATAATGATAATTCACTGAACTACTCTATTAAGTTAGAGTTAATAAAAGATTATATTATTCTGAAGATTTTTAATCATCTATTATTAAGTAAGATATCAGAGAAAGTCAGTATATAATTTACAAATCTCTCAAAGCTTAAACTTCTTCATCTCTTTCTCAATAAGCTGTGAGAATTCTACAATGCTGATTGAAATAAGTTCTCAGTTTTAAAACTAGATCATTATCTGATTCTTTTCTATAATAAGTTAACATTCTCAGTTTAATATATCTATTAATCAATCAGTTATTGACTTATCACTAACTTATAAATCAGAGATTGTGTTTGCTGAATCTCTCTCATTAAAGAGAATATCATTCAATATTAAAAGATAGAGCTTGACTGAATTACAATCATATTTATTTATAAAATGAGAGAAGTTAAGTGAATTTTCTTTACACTTATTTCTCTACATCATATCATGCATGATCATCTACTGAATCTACTGATTTTGCAAGAGAATTCTGATAATTACACTATTATCAGACTGCTGATAGTTTGAAAGACAGTATTGTATAACATTCTGATACAGAATAGTGATGAAAATGATGATTATTTAATATATAAGTCTCAGACAATAAGATATTTGTATTGCAATTAAGATGTCTCATTTCTTTAGATAGAATAAATAGTTGATGAATAGCAGCTGTTGTACTGAGTAATAAATAACTAACTAGCTTAATAGTATTAATTTCACTGACAGAACAGTATACAGTGTCTCATAGTATCTTAGTAGTATTCTGATAATGATATCTGTCAATTACACAGTTACTGAGTAGTGTTATGATAATGTTAGAAAGTTCTGCATTATCTCAATATTATCTTGATATTAAATATTCAGCAATGTGTCACTGAATATAATGATGAAACATGTATTACAATTAGCAACACGTGACACGGGTGGAATAGTGGATCCACGGTGTAATCACCGTAAATTAACCCTATATTCTTCTCATATGATTGTATTGATAGATCTATCTACAGGTGTTGAACGTCTGAGTGGTTGTATTGATAGCTATCTAGTAGGCGATATATGCTTAGTGCGGGGTGCTAGTCCGTACTAGGAAGTCTAGGGCTCCCACACCCCTCCTTGAACTAGCTACCGTGCAGTTATCCTATCTATTCTTCTCAAATCATTCAAATCCGCAATAATAATTAATTACAAAAAGCAGCACCTAGTTTCCTCATTAGAACTAGGCCTGATACATGAAATTACTGCACAGTAGTGCTCAAATCCTTCAAATTCATCACATTCATTGTATTCACTGTATTTGTTGTATTCATCATATTCATTTATCCCTCTCTCTTTCAGCGGTTGTGAGGTCTCAGCTTGTAGTAGTAGTGTGGATGAGTGATTCTTGCAGTGACTCTTGTAGTGATTCTCATAGTGGTTCTCGCAGTGGTTTCCATGACAGTTCTTGCAGTTATTCTTGCAATGGTTCTCGCAGTGGTTCTCACAGTGAATGGAGAGTGGCTAGGAGCAATGGCAGTGGTAGGTGTAGTAGTTGTAGAAGTGGCAGTGGCACGCGTAGCCAGTTGATCCATCAAATCATCCCTCTGTTCAAAGATATTCATTTGATTCCATATTGACAAAGAATCGGAGTCTCCACCTAGTTTTTGTATGAGTATTTCCATCAATCTGTCCTGTTTCTCCATGTATGCCATTATTCTCATCATCAAGGTGTATTCATTCATTTGACCTGGTTCACCCCTAGGCTCAGAGTATTCATTGTTTTCATTCATATCTGCATTGCTTGTAGGTGTATCTTGCTCATATTCTTCATTCATATTCATGTTGCTTGCAGGTGTATCCAACAATCCTGCAGTAGCTCACATTCTTGAAGACATTTATTTACTCTCTTGAATCAATCTTTTCCTGTGATCAAAGCTTTCAAAACAGTTGCTTTTCATCAGAATCCTTTTTTTTTTTTTTGTGATCAAAGCACTCTTGACCTCTCATCAGGATTCTGTTTTTCCCGCGATTGAAGCTCCCCTGGCTTCTCATCAGGATCCAGCAGTTGATATAGGAGATGTCACTCCTTTTCCCTGTGATCAAGGCTTTCAAACAGTCACCTTATGTCAGGATCCTTCTGCAGTTCAGTGATACAGCTCGCGAGACATTTTATACCTCAGATAAATGAAAAAGTAGTAGTAGTGAAAGATTTAAAAAAAAAACAAGCAATCCGGGCCATAACCTGTTGAATGTCTGAGTGGTTGTATTGATAGCTATCTAGTGGGCGATATATGCTTGGTGCGGGGCGCTAGTCCGTACTAGGAAGCCTAGGGCTCCCACAATAGGAACATAATATAGTGATGGGTCATGTGATCTAGTGGAATCGCTAACCGCAACGGCTGTAAGAGTCAACAGTTACAATACTGAATTACTTTAACTCTAACTTACTCAGTCAGTGTGAGACTGATACATTCAGAAATAGAATCTGTGAAATCTTTTTATAGTTGACACTGAAGATCTTTCAATATTAAAAGAATCAGAGAATAATCATCTCTGAGAAAACAGACAATGAATTATCTGTGAGAGAAGACTTTTTCACAGAGTCTATAAAACACTGTGAATAAAGATCAGTGATCTTCTTCTTTAAGAAGTTATCACTTATACAGAGAAGATATAATACTTATAATTAGAAGATATTAATAATTATTGAATTCTTTAAGATCTGATAATATTATCTTCAGAGTAGTAAGTACTCAGTGTAAGTTCTCACTGATTATACAAATCTACATTACTTCTTGATAATAAAGAGCTTGATAGAATATTAAGTCAGATAAGCAGAGCTGCTTTCAGAGTATGATTTCTATATCTGATATTATTCAGATCAGCTTAATTTCACTGACACACTGTCTAGATAGTTCAATTATAATATTATTAATACAGAGAAGAATTCTATAAAAGAGTCTCTGTTATTATTACAGAAGAAGCTGGCTGCAGAAGATTGAGATTCTCTGAAGCTTAGAAACAGTGCTGATAAAACAGCTGCACAACTCAGTATAGAAGATGAAAGAAAACCTGAGTTTTCACAGAGAACTAACACTGAAGATTATAAGCTTCTCATATTATATCTTACTATTATTGAATTGATAAAGAATGAAACAGTCTATAATCTTTTAACTCAACTACTTTTGAAATTCATTGATAAATTATAGAAGAGAAATATCTCTACTACAGATTAAATTCAGAAGTTGAAGAAGAAAGAATTTGATTTAAACTTGAAAGAGACAGACTCTGAGTGAGACAGTACTGCTAAGAAATCAAGTCACTGATAACTAGAAGAATGTGAACTTCTACTACTGAATAATTCAGTCTTCATTTCTTATAGTAGAGCAGTGTATTAGAAGTTATTGAGAATTCATTATAATAATCTTTATACAGAGCACTTCAGATTAGAGAAGACTGAGAAGCTTCTAAAATATAAATATATTTAAGACAAGCTCTGAACAGATATCAAAGAGTATGTTAAGACTTATAATATCTGTTAAAGAATAAAGATCTCATAGTATAAGTAATACAGTGAGTTGATATTACTGTCTGTTTCAAAGAACTCATGATAGAATCTATTAATAAATTTCATAGTTGATCTGTCAAAGTTAACAAGAGTCAAAGAATATGACTCAATTTTAGTCATTATTAACTGCTTTATAAAAATAATCAGATATATTTCTACTGATAAAAAGATTAAAGCCTCTGAATTAACTGATCTATTTTTAGATATCATCATTTATAATTACAGTACTCTGAAATCATTGATAACAGATTGAGAATCTCTCTTCATCAGTAAGTACTGATTGACTTTTTACTATTATCTTATAATAAGACATCTTCTCAGTATCACTTTTCATTCACAGATAAATAATCAGACTGAATATCAGAATCAGACACTAGAACAGCATCTTTAAGTGTTCTATTTATATTATTAGAATGATTAACTTAAACATCTTCTGATCACTGAATTCATATATAATAATACAAAGAATACAATCTTAAAGATATCTTCTTTCTATACTTATTATAAATATAATTCTTCATTACTCAGTGACATTGCAGACAATATTTCAAAGAGAGAAATAGACAGTCAGAATATTAAACAGATACAGAAAACAGAGTATTTCTCAGTATCAGAAGTAAAAGTAAGATTGAAACTTTTAAATAAAATTTATAAGAAGATAGTGAAAAGCATTCACTATGCTCAGAAGTAGTAGATAAAATACTATAATTGAAAACATCTTTCAATGAAGTTCTTAATAGAGAATCAAGTACTACTTTCAGTAAAGAATATCAAGATAATAAGACTGTATAAGAAGCTCAGTAAGTGATAACTAGAACTTTTCTTAGTAATAAGAGTGATGAGTAAGTAGATATATGAGTTAAAATTACTCACAGAATTAAAATCAATTCATTCTATTTTTCATATTTTCTATTTGAAGCTCTATAAGTAATATTTCAGAGTGAAGCTGTCTCAACTGAATGATATCAAGATTGAGAGTAATACTGAATATCTTGTGAAGAAAATATTGAATAAGTAAACACATTATAATAAGCTTTAATATCTTGTGAAATGAGAAGATTATTCATCATCAGAGAATTTATAAAAACTGCTTAAGTATTTGAAAAATACTGAGAAAGAGATTGCAAGCTATGAGACAGCTAGTAGAGATTATCTCATTACACATTAGAGACATTGAATAAGAAATACTGCTTAAGACTTCTCATTTTTCTTAAAGAGTTTTTTAGAGATAATCTCACAGTGATGAGTTAGTGTCTTATGAGCTCTGTAGCACTCTTCTTCTCTTTTCTCTTAAAGAGTTTTTAGAAGTGTAATGAGACTACACAAGTGTAAAATTTCTGAAGCAGTTAATAAGAAAAGAAAGAGATATTTGAAACTAATAAAGATTAATATTATTAATCTACAGACTGCTGCTATTCTAATGAGATTGCAGCCTGCTGAAAAAGTAAAAAGAAAGAAATCTCAGAGTCTACTCATCAATAATCACACTCTTATTCAACTCATTCTTCATCATTAAAGTCTCTGATATCAGTATTTTTATCTGTCAAGAAGTTAGCACTGCAGCACTGTAGAGAAGCATGCTATAGAAGAGTATAAGAAATACTTAAAGTATTAACTTATCAATTTACAAAGCATCTCAATTATCTGCTTTAATTGAAGTGAGATTCTCTTCAATCAGTAATTAATCTCTGTAACACTTTTAATAGCAGTGCTGACTGACTTCTTCTTAAGATCAGTTATTCTGAGATGTTTTTTTATCTCAGAGACTTATACTTTCATCTTCTTTTACAGATGAGTAAGAGAGATCTTCTCTGTCTTGATAAAATTCATCAATATTTAAAGCTCTGAGACTCTTACTCTGTACTGCTTAAGTATCTAGACTTCTTATCAGAGCTGATATAACATCTTTCTGTGAGATAATACTTACAGAGAGACAGAAGTCATTGTTATAAGTATAACAGAAATAACAGAAGTAAGAGAAGAAGTAGATATATAAAATTCCTCTCTTCTTTAGCTGTTTAATGTAGTGTAGACAAGTAGTAGTACTAATTAAAAGCTGTATCAGAGTCTTCTCACAGAGAGAAGATGAAGAAACTGCAGAACTCTGCAGACTCAACTCAGCAGCATTCTGAGCAGGGCTCAGATATGCTGTAAGAGAGAAACTATGAATTAAGCTTCTCAGAGTCACTGTCTTCAGAATGAAGCTCTTTCTGAGTTTCTCTCTGAATGATTACACAGGGTCATACATCACTGTGTTAACTGAGAAGAGAAGCAGTGTTGCAACAGCAGCAGAGAAGGCAGAGAAAGAATCAAATATAGATAAACTGACTGACAGAAGAGACAACATCTCACTGCAAGACACAGTAACTATCATTATAATCACAAGAGAAGCAGAAGAAGAAGAAGAAGAAGATATAACAATGAGAGCAGTGCTTCTGCAGTCTATCAACACTGCTATCTCTATCTTTAACCAGGCTTTCTTGACAGTCACAGAGATCACAGCTGCATCACAAAGATATTTATTCACTAGAAAACATCAGAATAAGTTCTTTATTATTCTCTAAGAATAATACTCTCATACACTCACTGTTGTAATTGAGAGAGAGAGAAGAAAAATGTTTCACAGAAAGAGAAATCTTTTCAAAAAATTCTATCACTACTGTTAACTTTGTCTCTAAAAATACATCACTTTTACAGGAAATTTTATATATAGAACAGAATATATTAAGAGATTTATAAGTCACTTATTAACTACATTTTTCACATTTCAAATCAATATATAAGAAACTCACTTATTATACATTTAATTTAAATGAAGATGAAAAAAGAAAGATTTACACAGTCAGTAGAAAAACTCATCTATTTCTTTATATTATATATAGTATATATGCTGTCAATCAGTTAATAATTATTGCTATATAACAAAGATAACTTCTAATTCAGTAATCTTGAGAGTATAGAGAACTATACTTTTAAAGAGAAGAGTATTATCACACTCTCAGCTATACTAAGATCTTATTACAGTTTCACAAAGCTCATCACTTTCATGCAGATAATTTCATCTCATTCAAATCAGTTTTCAGTCATTCTATGACATTATTCAGATATATTATAGAAAGATTCAATTAATGAATATAAGAATCTCACTTCTATACAAGATCAGCAGATTACTCTTTCTTAATAATGAGATACTGCTGAGGTATCACTTCAGCTATTCTCACTCATGAAATGAAAGAAGAGTATTCACTCATTGTCTATATAGAATAGCTAGAT